AATTCAACGCGAACGAAGTCGCTGTTACACGCTAGTAACTGAATATAATAAATTATCTGTGGTGCTCATTTCATCACAGTTTTTTTTTCATTTTTACTGGAACAAAACTGTAAATTTTTGATAACATCAAACAATCATTGTTTGAATAGTCTGTCAATCTTGACGTTAAAACTAAATATAGCCGATCGAACAAATTTTGAGAAAAAATTGAAAGATGCTACATGCTACTTTCGATATTTTAAAGGAAATATATTTGTAAATGGCCATTCCCATTCATTTTTTTTTTAAATCCAAACATTCTGCTGTGTGTAATATTTATCAAAATATTTTTACTAACAGACTTTCAGCAAAAGCAATTGTAGATTTTTTTACGAAAAAAAACATTATACAGTATAATTAATATCTGAATTATTTCAAAAGATACCGATTGTTTTCTCAAAACTGGTATTTTATGACTTTCCCTGATTACTAATCGTTATAAAGGTCAGAGTGATTAAACATACTCTGATGTACTTTTTAACAATATTTAATAACAATTATTCTCTTTGAAGTATATTTCTTTAATTAATTTTATCAGAGGCGCAGTAAATTTTAACTATATGTACATATTCAAAATATCGCAAAAAAATGCAAAACGAAAAAAAGGTTTAATAAATTCTTCTGTTAAAGATGTCATATATGTTTTAGAATACAGAAAACTTAATTAAATGTGAATCAAAAGACAATAAAAGATTTAGGACAAATATTTTAAGCTCTTAAAATTCTTTGTTGCAGGCTACTAAACAAAAATTATTTTAGAAATTGTTTTTGTTGATTTCTATTGGATTTAAGTAATTCTAGCATTTGCTTTTTTTCGTTTTCTCTTTTTCTGTTTCTCGTTGTGTGTTTTAAATTCTCGCATATTTTTGCAAAATAGCACCTAAAAACTCGAATTTTGATCAGTTTTTTTGCTAGATATTAGCGTCGATTGAGGAAATAAGCGTGCGCAACCTTATGGGCAATTTCGTTGCACAAAACCTGTCCGAGATGTAGCTGGCGGTATCGTCAGCCTGTCCGAGAAAGCCGCTGCGCCCTTTCGTTTACAGCGCAGCAGATAAAGAATACTGTACCGTAGTCCGTAGTTCTGCTTTCAATCGACAGAGTGGTTGCCGGAGACAGTATTGCCAGATCTACTGGTTAATCCGTAGATTTGCGCATTTTGGGTACAGTACGGATAGTAGTAGTAATAAGTAGGAGTAATAATACGGATTTTCTATCATTAAATAATTAAATGTAATATTATATGATTAAACAAAGGACGGCGTCATAGTTGGCTTGGATATGAAGATCGTTGTTATTTCATATGTAAAATATTATAGTAAATATCAATAATCGTAATTTCCAAGCCCACTAGATGATTTTTTTTCGATATTAGAACTAAATCATACAACAGTTTCAGTGCCTATAAAAAAATAGTAATTTTGTTGTTTATTCTGTTTACGAATAAATTTTCAATGCATAAATGTGGATTTTTCATCGAAAGATATTTTCGTCAAACGTATTACAGATATTACACATATTAATATGGCTGTCGCTTTCAGATCGACGCCGTCTTCGATATGCCTTCGGTGGCCGAATTAGAGAAAATAAGTGTTTTATACGTTGACCGCAGAACGATTGGTGTCTCTACCGTACAGCACTTGAGACGTAAGGGGAAATCGAATCAGTCTTGTCACGAATTCTCCCATTAGGTTGCCTATCTTCCCAATTCTTTCAATCAACGACATTAGATAGACTATTAATATATGTATACTGGATTACTTGATATTTATTGATACTAAAAGGAAAGTTTGTAATTAGATGTTCCCCAAAAACATATATCAAAATATCTTCTTGTTATTGATTGGATATGTATGTTTTATTTCATGATTTTATCATTTATTTTAATTTTATTTTATAATAATTTTATCATTTATTTCTAAAAATGTTATAAAATTTAAACCAACAAAGTTTAGTGTCATTTTTAACCAAAACAAATTTTGATATTTCTAAGAATATGTAAAATATGACACACAAAGATAAATATTTAGAAATTTATGCAGGTGAGTGTCTCACAATCCACAAATCAGGTATGAAGGCCTAAGGCATTCAAAGCTGGTCTGCTCATACTGTATCGATAGGCAATGTTATTTTTTAATTGGCTTGGGTTATAGACATAGAAATTTACACTAATAACTACTAATTATGTAATAAACAAAATAATCATCATCGTCTGTTCTAAATCTCACTTGGGGGGGAAAGTGAGATATAGCGAGATTCTGCTTGACCCCCCCCCCCCTTGATTTCCTCCTAGCCAGTCGTTGAGGATTTTGATATATTACTGATGATTATACTTAACCAGCTAGGAATATCTAAAACCACAGGAATTTTGTATCATAAAAAGTCATCCATATAAAAAAATAGATTATTTTTATTGTCATTGGCCTTTCAAAATCTCATTCAATGTTTCACTTGCAATTTGACTGAACAAAGAATATAATAAGCTACGCATATATTGAATGTCCGTATATGTGACGAAATATGTTCAATGACCTCAAACAATAAAAACACGGGAATTTCACTGCTATCAAATTATATGACATATATTTTTAGGTATAAGTACTTCATTTATCTGATAATATAACTATTAAAATACACCAGTTAAAAATTTATACAGGTAGGTATATAATTTCAAGTAAATACAAAGTTTACTGATTAAAAAAAATATATTTAGTCTCTAAGTTTCCAGACAAAAGAAAAAAGTTAGTTCGTAAACTTTGTAAAAAGTAAATTTGTTTTACAAATTAAATAAACACATACATATTTAAAAAATTAAAATTTATAAGAAAACAAAAAAGCTCCAAAAAAAATTAATAAAATGGTTAATTTGATCATGAAAACCCAGATCTTACATGAATTTATTAAAGACAAAAATAAAATTACTAATATAATAACTAACTTCGATAAATAATATCCTTATTGCGAGTTGAGTATAGAAGAACTTGGAAACATTTTTGAATAAACTCTTTAGAATGATATGAAAAATTAAATGGAAAAAGATGGAACAACAATAGAATTCCTAGAAATTCCATCACTCTCTTCAAAATAACATCGCAATAGCTTTATAAAGTTTTTGTTTAAGTCAATTTCAAGAATTTATTATTCCTTATAAAATATACTACCTCGGATCTGTTTGTATAAAAACAATACCTATCAGCAAATATATCGATGGAATTAAATATTTGCGGTGAAAATCGAGTATACAAAAAAAGTAACAAGACAAATGAATACACTAATACCATTTCATTGTTTACTCATATGATATGACACACACATGACAATAAACAATATCAGTTTATCAAGATTACAAACACTATAATACATTTACCTGCGTATATCAATGTATATTTTTATATAAAACATTCAAAAAATACATAAAGATAGATACGAATATAGCAGATATAATTAGTTTTTTTTAAATATTAAGAATAAAATATTGATAATTCGTCTTTTTTAACCAAAAAAAAAGAAAAAATCCTTAGTTGTTCAAGAAATTTATCAGAATTCAACATTGACTTTACTCCTATCATATGATGATAATTCAGGAAGTATTGCTCAGATAGAATATATAATCATGCTTTCTCTCTCTCTTGTCAAAATTTTTACGTTGGATTGGAAATTAATATATTATGAATATAAATCATTTTACTCGATATATCCTAAGGCAATAATAGAATAGAAGCCCTAGCAAAACAAGGTTTTATATATAAAATAGGCCTTATATAGAAACTCTCGCCAATATAATATGTTGGAGGCAGATACCGAATTCGGCCTATGTCCGAAATAATTAGACATATGGCGATTATAATTTCACCGTCTCAATATCTTTAACAATAACAGAGATACGGGGGGTGTCCCAAATTGCAAAATTTTCAAAAAGACCCTGTAGCTCAGAAACGAAGAGGGCAATGAAAATTTTGTTTATCCTTCCAAAAAACGATACGCTACTGGCCATTAGAACAATCCAAATGCGCCTAGTTGCCGGGGTCGGAAATTTTAGACTTCTCTGTCTCTTCTGTCCTTGTTTGACACATTGGAATGTTTGATACACTTCCAACGAGTATTTATGAATGAGATGTCCGGTCTATCTTTATAATGTCTTTGATTTCAACCAAAATGGGACACCCTGTACAACGAACTAGTGGAAAGAAAAGACATTCTAATAAATAACATAACACTGAAAATAGTAAAAGAATATATATATGTACATATATTTGGGACAACTAATACACAGTCGGGATATCCACTACCAAAAATCAACAGAAGAATTAAGTTAGCATGGAGTACTTATGGAAGAAACTCAATCATATTCAAATTTAGAATACCACTCTATCTAAAGAAGAAAACATTCGACCAATGGGTACTACCAGTCATAACATATTTATGCAATAACCAACAGAGACAAGAAGACAGAGTCAAGTCCCTCAAATGGTAATGGGCAGGACACCTGGCAAGAAGAACGGACAACAGATGGACCACAAAAATAACAGCATGGTATCTACGAGGAATTAAGAGACAAGAGACCTAGAGGAAGACCGAACCTGAGATGGGATCATGATATTAGGAAATTAGCAAGGATAACTTGGGCTCGCATAGCCAACAATGGGCCCAACTACACAAAGAAAGTATGTGATGGAGGCTACACCATAATTGGAAATGGTTGAATAAGATGACTGAATAATGATGATGATGATAAATCATTTAAGCCAATGTTCATTCGTCACTTCGACCTCTCCAGATATTTTATGAAAGAATTTAATCTATGATCTTTTCATCATCTTCACTGTCGCAAAAAACTTCAAAAACACTAAATTCCATAAATGTTTTTATGTTTTACTTTCCTGACAGTAGCTCAAAATCATCAAGCACATCTCATACTTGTTAAACAAATTAAATTTAAAAAGCAAAAAATATTAACTTACAGAAAAAACTCTTCTATGCACAACTACTTTGACGATTCACGCTAACACACAAAACAAACAACAAACAGTTAAACAACTGTACGGTAACAAACTGAACGCGATCAACTACTCGCAGGTAGATTGATTGATAAACAAACTGGCGTGGCTGAGCGTACGCGGAACGGATTGAAACGCCGAAGAGATTAGGCACGTGCTAGCGCAAAGACAAACGCGACACGAATGTGTTCCTGCGACAGAGCGAACAGGAGGCGGCACGCAGGAGAACAGACTGAACAGAGATGGAGCGAGCCGGCATCGGCGGCAACTTGTGGCTCGCCTGCTGCTGCGATCGAGTCTCGCTTATCATCTTTCGCGAGATTCCAGACCATCGACGTTCGAAAGTGTAAACAACGACTTGATTATCACTCCTTTATTGATAAAGTTACTGGAAATATTCTTCCCCTAGCAGATGCGAGACCTTGTCAGGTGCTAGGGGAAATCCCCTCTAGCACTTTGGCTGGGTCTAAGGAGTATCTCATTGTCTAGTCCCTGGCTTAAGTGTCGTAGCCAGGGAATTGCACCAAGATGTATAACCACAGATTATAAACTTTGTTTTTTCTCTATTGTTTTTCGTGGTTCCAATTTTCGGAATCGGGCACTAGTTAGGTTACTAGTTTGCGCACATAGCACGCCCACATATGGCCTCTAAAATTGTGCACAGCGCCTGACCGGCACAGTTATTAGAGAGATATCGGAAAACCGAATAGTGTCGTGCAGTCGAAGCGCTATTTCTAAGTAACGTTTAAAAATTGCTTAAATGGGCATGTGCGGATATTTGACAACCGGGGCCGGCAGGCAAGATCTTTTATTTTAGGTTATGTTTGAATTGTTTTGAATTATTACTTTAGTTTTATTAGGTAATTTGATATTTAAGTAGCTGGGATTAGTTTTAATTAAATAAATATGGCCCAAAATATGGATTCCACCTCTTCCAATATTAAAGAATCTATAAAGAGGCTTAGGTTTACAGCAGATGACGACTTAGCCCTTCTAAGAGAATTTGTTGCTTGTTGCCCTAGACGTTGAACAATAAAGCACTGGAAATAAGCACTTTAGCCCTTTAGTTTTAAAATACCTAGTAAACAAAACAATTTCAAAGTTTTAAATTCAAAGTTAGGTTAAGTTTAAATAGCGGACGCGACGCGAACAGAATTCTTTCTGATCCGATAACTATAAATGAAGAGAGTTAATACCACCTCATGTAAAGGAAATAACACCTAGCGCTTTATTAACGTCCATGCACGCTATTCGGTTTAGCGATATCTCTCTATTACGCTGTTTATTGTTGTTTTACGCGAGTTTATTTTTGCGCACAGGAAATTTGACTCGTTTGCACATCGTCATAAAAAACAATTTTCGTACCACGAATTAGGGATAAGATTTTTATCTGTATAAATATAGTATACCTAATCTGTGGTATATCGATGCCGGATGAGACTACCCTGTTCGTCATACCAGGCACCCTCTACTGTCTGTGATCATGTATCACGGGCAGAGGGTGTGTGGGGATCTTAGCTTAACCGTCTGGACCAAGAGAAGACAACCTCACCAAAAACCTAAATCCTATGATGGCAGGACCAGGTCAAAGGGATGCGTGGCTGGATAGAAGACTAGCCCCTACTACCCTGAACCTTGGGGCACCAGGCGGCAACCCATTGTATTCTCGTCTCCCTTATTTCTACATACGACGACTAACCCTTGTGGTGCAATTGACTTCAAACTCTTCAAACCCAAGGAGGCAATACAGAAAGAGGGTTATATCCAACAACAGTAGTAGCCATTTCCAAAATCGAAATTAGTTTATGGACATTTTTATAGGTAAAATCCCTGTTAAAGATACAAAAATGTAGTACTGTAAACATTATTATTTGGACATCGTCTGTTATACCCCAAGTTTCATTTTTAGATACAAAATCGAAAAAAAAATCTCGTTTCGTCGCATTTTTGGTACATAATATGTTTCGTAACATAAATCACTTTTTGTTTCCAAACATTTTACTAAAATATGGGGTCGCTACATAAACTATAACAATAAAGATCTTAGTATCACAAGTTTTTCGAAATTTTAAGAAACAGATGTGGCTCACATTTACAGATTTCGTACCCGTTTTGTGCCTGAAAAGTTTCCATAATTTATTTCATGTTCTATCAAATGTGAGAACATAACCTTACTTTATTGTTTGGATTTTGTTTTGCAGATTTGTGCATTTAAGCATTCCTCAAGTTTTTATAGTAAAAAAGCAAAAGGAAGGACATATGGTGAATACAAATACAAATATTTTACTTATGCGATTTTATAATTATTTATTATACGCATCACAGAGATGATTTGTTTTAGGAATAAATGTAATAACAGCCATACCCAACAGGAGATCGAAGAAAAATGTTACCAGCAAACGTTTTCTTCTCTTTTTTTCCACGATGGAATACATGTTTCTATGTTTTAATTGTGTTATAATAAGTAAATAAAAAAATGTTTTAATTATTTTGACCAGAAGTTTTGATTGGCGTTGTTGACAGGTGACTAGCTCAACATTTCCACACAGATAGCGCTAAACCGGAACATTTTGGAAACAAGGTTTCCATTTATTGTCGATTCATTTTCGAAACACAAGTTTCTCTCTTTTTAGACACAAATATGATATAATGTAGATGATTTGGGTCTAATATATATTTTTTATCGGCCGTTGAGCTTTTAAACTTATAAGAACGCTGTCTACTTACACTGATTTATATATTTTCATTTCCAGAACCATAACATAAAAATAAAAATCTATATTTCAAACAAAAATATTTTTAGCAACAAATAATGATATATAGAAGGGACATTAAAAATATGAAAGTATATTATTAAATTAAACGATGAATTTGCTTGTTCCAGACATTTTTTGTGCGAGAAAACCTAAAAACAGAGATTTTAAGACAAAAAAATTATGGTAAAGGTCGACATTGTTGATGGTTGTTTTCATTTTGAAATACACATATAGAGTATTTTAATTTGGTTTTTTTTCTTCACATTTAGAAACAGTGGCTGCTGAAAACAGGAACATCTTGGACGCAAATTGCAGAAAATGTTTCGAAACGTTTCGCCGTTTCGGCTAGTGCCACCATATTGGAAACACATGTAATAAAGCCATATAAAATATTTAGATTTCGAAAATGTTTCCTATTTGTGGCATACCGTTTCCATTTTGTGTCAAGAAACAGAGACACAATTATTAGAAACATTACCTAAAATGTGTCCAAAATGCTACTTGGGACTCAATTACAGGTATTCCTAACAAATTATGTTGATTACTTAAAAATTCTATAAAATGGACATTTGGACATTGGACAATCCCAACAAGGTTTTTTCTCTTCAAATGTATTTGTTAATATTCAGCATTAAAATTATTTTATATGTTACACGCTATAATCTATCTTTGAATCCAATCAGAGTTCTATATTCCAGCACGTCAATGGTCCGGGCGGATGATTTGTCCCGCGAATGCGATGATTCACCGAAGAGAGAATTTCTGTGCGACCCAGAAGGACAAAGAAGCCGTGGTCGAGCACACGGTGACGAAGACCAAGAATTTAAATGATTTTTTTTTCGAAAGCAAGCGGTGAAACCGATCGTCAAACGATCACGTAAGCCTTGGCTTTGTTTTTGTTTATATCCACGTTCGATTTTATAATAAAATTAACATTTATTACGATCATTATAGCCGAATTATGATTACTAGATTCGACAGGTGTCAGCTTATAATGTGTTGGAGTCAATGACGACGCAAAACTTAATAATTTAGGGGTATACATATACAACCACCCTTGTAGATTGTATAGGAGGGGGGAAGTGAATCACCGCAACCTTATACAACTATTGTGTCCCCTTTTCTTGAATTTGACAAAAGCCGGCAGTATCTGAGACGGCTTTATATAGGTTAGTTCTCCAACTCCGATAGCAGTCGTACCAAATGGTTGTCTGGACCACACAAGGTCTGGACGCACTCAGTAATGAGGTATTCTGGTGATTTCCCATTTCCCCACAAATCTTCAGTCCCCGTTGGTTCTTAGCTTCAATCTACTATGAAGTGTTGAGGAGACAGTGTCCTGTTAAAAACCCCGTGAAAATCCGAAGACTGTTCTTACTTAAATCAAGGAAACTTTTGATTTTTCTTGGTCGTAAGTTCTGAGAAATTTCTTCAAGTGTCTTAGACCGTTGGAGGATTCTCATTTCTCATTGCAAGTTACGGATGGAGTCTTCCAGGTTCTAAATTTCCGCTTTAAGTTTGATTTCCACTTGAGAAGCAGAACTCTCCCTTCGTGGCATGACTTATTATATGACTTGAATATTTTATTTGCCTAATTAGTTCAGCTTCTCTAGGCATTCTTTGGCCAACTTTGAACTGATGGTTACTCATAAAGTTGATCGTTTTTAATATAACCAACCTGAGATAAGAGACAATTTTTGGTCTAAAAAAAGACTATTTTTGGGCTATCAAATAATCAGTCTAAAGGATCCAATCCCCGTTAAAGGATATTATTTTATTATAACACTAATAACCCCGTCTACTAAAATTTATGGTCTTTAAATATTTATCGATAATGTTATTTTTGTAGTTCGTGAAATCAGAAGCCTCAATCCGACGTTGATAATTCAATGTACACGAGTCTCGAAAACTACTAATTCTACGTAAAAAAATGACAAGGACCGTTTTTGTAGGTAATCCGGAGTTTAACCATAGTTTTTTTTATTGCAAATAATTAATCTTCATACAATTTTATGACACCCGTATTTTTTTATTTTACTTCAATTTCATCCCATTTTTTTAAAAAATTAATCAATATTAAGAATTTCAAATTTACACTTTTGCAATTTTTGACGTCACCTATCAAAAGTGTCACGGTTTGCCACCAGGTACAAAGGTAAATAAAAACCATTTTTCTAAATGTATTTTAAAGTAGATATAAGATTAATTGTAAAATAAAACTTAAGGAACTTACGTTAAAATGATCTTTACAGCAAAATCTCGTACTTTTGCTGACATATTGTTGTCTTGCCGCTTCAAACCAGGCTCTTCGACGGCTTTCATCCAAAAGAACAGTTATAAAAACTTTTTTTGGAGAGCCTTCAGAGTTATTTAGACAGCCCTTCACAAAACAAACTTTAATACCCTTCATTACAAAAATAATAAAGAGGGTACAATAAAACAAAATTGAAAACTCAAAGTG